TCGCCGCCTGGTGGCCGTGGCCTGGGGAAGGGAGAGGGCGGCCGTGGGAACCTAAAGTTAACAGCGTGGTCAGGCTTTCAGCAGGGCCGGCGGAGTGTGAGGTGCTGCAGGAGTGTGGCCACGCACGGTCAGCTGCCCCGTCCGACGCGGCCGTCGGCCGAGAGCTGTTCCCCGCAATGCTCAGCGCGTGTCAGGTGACAAGGGACTGCAGCCCTGCCCTTCGTGAAACTCAGGAAAGGGAGCCTCAAGGTAACACAGCACCGAGCCAGCAACGCATCTGTGTCTTTGTAGCCAATGTATTACCTATGTCTGTTCAACGACAGTTACCTCGCGTCTATTTCTTGGCTGGGAGTCTACTCGCCCTCAGTAATTCATAGAAAAGACCACTGTCCTCACTGTCGGTGTCATAAAGGAATAGGCCACAGTCACCGTGTTGGACGCCAACTTTCCTAGGAAATTGCTCTCGTGCCCGTTCATGTCATGAGAATGTCATCTTGTGCTATTACGTCAGTATTGTTTTATTTCTAGTATATTTTTCATAAGCTAAGGAAAACTTTTTCTTTGAAAAGTTAGATGTTTTCTTATTAATTCTGTGTCATATTTACAGCTGAGGAAAAACTGTTTTAACTGAAGTGTAAATGGTTAACAATGGCAAATGATACAGTCCGCTTAGAGTTTACAAAAAATATATACCAAATAGACATCGACCAACCAGACAAGCACTTGGGAAGTCCTTGGGAGCAGACCTCGGGCGTCGCCTGCATCCTCTGCTCAGGTTTGTTAAAAGGCCGATGGGAGTGGACTCGGTCGGGGACGGGGGACCCAGCGCACACGGGGCGTGCTCTCAGGCGGCTGACGTGGCGGCGTTAGGAGTGGCTGGTGCGGACACGTCGGCGGAAGCCTTACTCTAAATCCTTCACTCGCTGGCAGATTTCTTCTGTGAAGTCTGAGCACTTGGCATTGCCTCCCAAGTCTTTTGTCAAGCTCTGAGGAGGGGGAAAAGCAAATTAAAAACGCATCGCACGGAGCCAAAGCAAGGAGAGCTCTGCTAAAAGCGCCGGTGAGATTCCAGCCGAGCGAGTCCTGGCGGCGCTCCTTCCCCCAGTTCCTCCCAACGCTCACGGCGCCCACCACGTCCGCCCAGCAGGAGGACAGGCCCCAAGGAAACACCGATGATGGACACTTCACATCTAAACCAGGGATCCGTGAATCCCCTGGGGAATGTCCAAAGTTGAAGAAACTTAAAAGACCTATTTTGATCTGTTTTGGAGGCTGGGAAACAGAGACTAAGGCAGCATGTACGTCACTAACTGCAACGCCTCCCACACAGCCGCGCCTTCTACCAGCTCCTCTGGCCACGCCCACACGGACCTCCATGCACTTCTCCCTCCACCGCGTCCTGCGTACCCAGCAGCCCCCTGTGCTCTGCTCTCTGTGGCTCCGTCGTTAAACTCACAGACGCAGCAGCGTCAGAATAAAAAAATGCAAAGTCCTCTGCCCTTCAATCGACTCTCCGGCTGCTAAAAACAGGTCTGGGTTTCTTGCCTTTTCGCTGCCAGAAGTGATTTCAGATTATAGGGCTGTTTTTAAAGGAGCCAACCCTGAAAACTGTGCTACGTGAAACACGGCCGTCACAACGACAGGTGTGAGGCAGTTTCACTGGGAAAAGGAAAGGTCCGGAGATGGACAGCGATGCTGGCACGACGGTGTGAGCGTGCTTGACGCCACCGAGCTGGACACTTCAGAATGGCCGGCTTGGCACTAGGCATATTCTACTGCGACTTGAAAAGGAAGAGGCCTCAGGTGATGGGTCAGCCTCATGGCACGGCCGTCAGAACGACAGGTGTGAGGCAGTTTCACTGGGAAAAGGAAAGGTCCGGAGATGGACAGCGATGCTGGCACGACGGTGTGAGCGTGCTTGACGCCACCGAGCTGGACACTTCAGAATGGCCGGCTTGGCACTAGGCATATTCTACTGCGACTTGAAAAGGAAGAGGCCTCAGGTGATGGGTCAGCCTCATGGCCCAGCCTGTGAGGCCATCACCTCCTCCGTTCTCCGCCCGCTTGCAGGGTGACCCATCGCCTCCGTGGCCACCACCGCTATGGAAACAGTGAAACTTGCTGGACAAGAGCCGGACTGGGCGTGACCAGCTCTGCCATGTGGACCTGAGACCTTAGACAGATGACTGAATCTCTCTGTGCCTCAGTTTCCTCATCTACAGAATGGGGTTCACCCCAGGATCCCCTCATGGAGCAGTGTGCTGAGGTGGCGTGCTCTCACACAGCTTTGCGGGAACTGCAACACCCCGTTAACAGTAGTCGTTCTGCTTCTACCTTTCTGACGCACGTGGCATAACGCACAATACCCTGTGTCGTAGACACATCGGAGCTCCTGGAGGCCCGAGACCTTACCTCATTCCTCAGTGTGTTGTCTTTCATACCTTAAAACATACACAGTAGCTTTTTGCTGGGAGGAGGAAAAAGCCACGTAGAAAACGCGACGGCCTTGGCCAAGATCCCATCGCCACCAAGGGGACACCCGGGCCTGCAATGGCTCCAACTCCCCACGGCTCTCAGCGCCTCTCAGCCCTCTCTTGCGAAACACGAGGCCCCTCCCTCAGGAAATGCATGATGCGCCCACACCCGGAGTCCACCCAGGACCTCGAGGAGGAAGCCGAGCTGCGTCAGTCCTCGGGCTGCGGGGCGCCACCACCTGCCCCCCCAGGGGAGGCCATGTCCTTGCCCGCGATGTCGGGGGCCGTCCCGTGGACCTGCCGGGAAAAGCAGCTCATCAGGGGCCGCCCCCGGGGAGACCCTGGGCAGCGGCTGCCCCCAACGCATCAGACAAAGGCCTAGAAACAGAGCCGCACAGAAAGCAAGGGCGAGAGGAACTTTTCTTTTTAATTGCAAAACTAGGGACTGACCATCTCTATCAACTTTTGCTAAAATACTTTAACTGAGGAAGGATAAGTACACAAAGCTGGGAAATGAATGAAAAAACCTCCACAAAGCATCACTTTCTTCCAACAATGCGAAAACCCAAGAGTTCACACATGTTTATACAGGTCCCCCTCCCGGGTCCTCACGCCGTCCAACCCGCATTCTGCTTTGGGCGTCAGAGGGTCCTTACCGACTCGAAGATCGCGACCCCGTTGGCGCCGATGTTGCCACTTGGTGTCACGCCGAGCCCTCCAATCAGTCCCGCACACAGGTCGCTGGGGGCAGAAAGGATTTGGGTGTCGGTTTGGAAAACAAAACATCTCCCCCAGCACCTCGTCTTCAGTCTCCAACACCCTCCTCCACCAGAAGGACCAGGCCCCATGGAGAAACGGCCCAGGACTAGTTAGGAGCCGGGAGGAGCCGGAGCACAGGGCCCCATGGGGAAACGGCCCAGGACTAGTTAGGAGCCGGGAGGAGCCGGAGCACAGGGCCCCATGGGGAAACGGCCCAGGACTAGTTAGGAGCCGGGAGGAGCCGGAGCACAGGGCCCCATGGGGAAACGGCCCAGGACTAGTTAGGAGCCGGGAGGAGCCGGAGCACAGGGCCCCATGGGGAAACGGCCCAGGACTAGTTAGGAG